ATACAGGATGTTTTTTCATGTGTGTATATATTTTAAGGTGGGAGCCCCCCCACGCCCAAGCCCGCCCCCCGCAGTTTGGGGGGGGGGAATTTGTGGGGGTGGCAGTCCGCACTTCTTGGTTGAGAAACACTGTTCTAGACTACTTCAGAAGATGATTTCAGAATAGAGACTTCCCTTCCTTAAAATGGTGTCTATATGGATGCTTTTCAGAGTAGAATCTACTGGGGAGGACAAAGCCAAAGGAGGTCTTGTGACCTCTGTGCTGCAACCATCAATGGCTGCTAGTGCTCCCCCAGAGAAATAAACTGCTATAATCATCATCATCATAATACATTTAAGAGTCAGTGTCTGTTGTGGCAGCAAGTTATCCTAGAATTATGACCAAAAAAAATCACTTATCAACAGGCAGCCCACATCTACAAAGTCTGGCCCATGGAAATTGACATTCTTATTAAGACCTCCAGCTGCTCCAAAGCAGCTTCTTTGGGGTCAGTCTCTTTTGGGGAGAGGCCTATGAGCAGACGAGAGCATTGTGGGACTTTGGGGTAACCAGAGAAGATATAACTATCAATATTGTTTATAATAGGTGAACCCCCAGCCTAAGGTTTTGACCGCTGCTGGTGGTAAAAAAGTCAATATTGCAGCCATGGCTTCAAAGCCCCACCCCCTTTTCATGTATCACCGGTGCAATGCATGTAAAAAGGGGAGGGGCTTTGATCATATGGTCACAACTGCCATCTTGGCTTTGTTGACTCTTGGACACCCCTGAAGAGAGCATGACCTCAGACCTTCCCCTGATATTACTTCATTAATCTCCATATTGCTTTTCCTAATGATCTGCTCCTGCATGCTTCAGGCTCCAGTGCACACCAGGTGTGGGGAGGTTGAACTAGGCACGTATGAGATGTTATTTCCTCATGTGTTTCTTGACAAACAGTAAAAATGTCCCTTGTTTTGTTCCCTTTTCCGGTGTTCTTATTCCCCTCTCCCCCAAATCTTTCTCCTTCCCAGTGTTTCAGTGAAGGTGGCCCTTGGCTGCCACTGCACCCCTAGCACCAAAATTTCCATCTTTGGAGCAGGGAGCCAGCATGACTACAGTGCACCCGTCTCTTCTCATCCCACCTGCCCCTCTCCATCCCAGGACCATACAAAGCAAGAGCACAAGGATGGAAACAGTAGAAAGAGAGAAAGAGAGAGAGAGAAGACAAAGGAACACAAATGAAAGAAAACAGAAGAAACAGCTTGCATTATGGTTAAATATCTCCTCTATTGCTGTAGGGATTTCAGTCCCCCAAAGAAACTGGAACCAAAAAAACCCCCCTTCAGATGGAGAAGGAAGGAAAAAGGAGGAGCACGTTTTCCCATGTTCTCTCCCACACGACTTTTCTCTCTCTCTTTCTCTCTCATTTTCTTTTCATCCATCCAGTCATCTATTCAACCAATGACCTGTCTGCCCATCTTCCATCTACTGCCAAATTTCAACAGCAAATAAAACTCTTTCAATGTTTACAAGAACCTGCTGGAGAAAAGATCTTTTCCCCCCATCCCATATGAAGATAGTGGGGGAGCATGTTTACATGTTTTGCTAGAAACAAATGAAAAGAACCAGCATGGGAAAGAGGAAACTCTGATCTCTCCTCTGTGGTGTTTACAAAAGACAACAAACAGGGATGAGAAGAAGTGGGCCCAGAGCCATGGATTGGTTTAGAAACTGGATATGATAGAGCAAACTTAAAGCAAGTTACCATGACTCAGAAGATGTGCCATCAAGGTGGAGTATAACTCAGAAAGGTGTAGTTGCACACCTACAAGACATCAGAACGGCTTGTACAACTAAACCCACCATCCCGCCAATCAACAGGAAAAGAAATGACAATGGAATGGATAAAATTGGCTGAAGGAAGGAATTAAATCAACACTGAGAGTCAACAGCTTCAAGCGCAAGAAGATAAGAAATGTAATGGTGGAAATCAAAGTGTGAAAGTGAAGATGTAGAAGATGGGGGGGGGGGAACGCAGAGGCCACATGCAAAAGAAGGAGGGGATTGACAGAATGGACTTTATGGAGGAAAAATTACTCCTGTTAAAAGGAACAGGTCCGGCAAACGAGGATGAAATGACAGCAGGAAGCATTGCAAAAGAGCTGGTGGAGAAAACAAAATACCAGTCTTGAGAATAATAAAGAAGAAAGTGCTTAAAATGAGAATGTTAGAATGAATGAAATGGAGGTTGTAGTAAAAATGAAGGGGGTGGAGTGGGGTGGGGTCAGAATTTGAAAGCATTAAAGGGACATAAAGCAACAAGGTCCCCCCTTTTTTAAAGGACCAGCTGCAGCCAGAAAAACAGGATTGCAAAGCTTGGGTAGTGCCGTGTCTTTCAGTTGGTGAACCGATGTATTAGCAGAAAAGTATGGCTGTGGGAGGAGACAAACCTTGGCCAAACACTACTAAGAGAAACCCAACATATTTGGCAGACATGAGAGACAGCTGGGGCAGGAATGTGGAAGGAATTCAGGGTGGCTGTAGAGCAACCTGGGGAACACACCAAAAAGTGTGGGGAAAGCCTGTTCCAAGATATTTTGCTACCTGAAACAAAGGATAAAATATTCCTTTATGTGCAAAAACCGGTTTAAGTGTCCCATTGTACTTGAGGAGGGAAAAGTAAAGAGTACAGGACCGGCTGCACAGCATTCATGGTTTGGTTGTCCAGCATAGACAGTAATTGCCGCCCCCTTACATCCTCAAAGGCAGTTGTGTCATAAAGGTTGTTAAGCTGATAGTCTTTAGTGTGGGTGTTGCTAAGAGGATACCTTTCAGGTATGTAAGTCCAGGCAAACTACAGTTCCCAGCCAGACAGGGCATTGTCCCTACTGACTGGGAATTATGGGAGTTGTAGTCAAAAATATCTGGAGGAGTCCAGTTGAGGAAAGCCACTACTGAAGCTCCACATCTCTTCCCATTCAATCCTTTTCTTTGGGTCAGCAATAAGAGATTGTGAACTTCTTTGCTCAGTTGCTCCGGAAGGCAGAAAAGGCAGGGAGAGGAAGGCACCATGCACACATATGCACACTCTCTTTCACACACACAATAGAAGAGCTACTGGATAGAACACCCCCACCCTCACTATGAAGAGTGAAAACCCTCAACATTGAGTATCAGAATTGAAGCAGGGACCAAGAAGCTGTGTGAGAACCATACAGTGAAGCATGAATGTGTATGTACAAGTATATACAGAAGTGAAGGTGTGATATGGAGGAATATGGGTTTCCACCACGTATGTGTTACGTCAGTTCCTCTCCGATGCACAGAGGAAGCTTATAACTCTAATCTGGGTGCTCAGAACTATGGTATAAAAACAAAGCAGGACACCACTGTTACTGGAAGTGTCCAGATCCTAGCCAACATCATCCACAGTGTAACAGCCAAGCCTAAAAGGAGTGGATAATACCAGCTAGTATTTACAAGCAAAGAAACAAGACATTCTCTGAGGTGGAAAAAAGAAAAGAATGGGACAGATGGAAGCTTGCACAAGATTCAGTTAAAAACCGGGGTGGGGTGGGGTGGGGGTGGGGGGAAGCAGCAGGCTATTCTTCAAGAAGGAACAGAAGCTGGGATAATACAAACACCTTCTTGGATGGAAAGAAGATCACACCAGCCAGAGAGGAAAGCACATCTGCCCAGCGGGATCACCAGATGTGACGCGGCACGGGGAGAGAAGGGCTGAATGATGCTTCACTGAGAGACGTATTCCTGAGAGGGCATCTGCTCCATGCAAACCAGGAAGACATCTTTAAAAGGGTCAGACAGACCACCACGTATGTTATTGGACAGAATCAAGTGTGGGGTGGGTGGCGGGGTGGGGACAGGGTGAGGGAAGGGCACCAGCAAAGAAATAGTGTGTAGCGGACACTAAAGTTACACCCGGCACAATGTGAGTTTTATTTTGCAGGTTGTAGTAGACCAACCTCAATGGCTTT